CCCTCCTCCTCCTCCCCCCGCCGCCGCTCCCGCCCCCCGCCCGCGCCCGGGGGCCGGTCCCGGGCCGCGCTGCGTGTCCTGCCCCGTGGCACGGGCGGGGGGGCCGCACGCGTGGCGTTCCGGTGCTCGGGGCGCTGCGCTGAGCCCGGGGGGCCGCGCCTGGGGGTTCGGACACGCGTGTGGACGGGGGTTGGCCCATGGGTGTTTCTGGGCTGCACACACGTGTCCGCTCCAGGGACGCGGCGGGGGAACGGCCCCGCGGGTGAGCGGGTCCCCGGTGGCCATGTGGCATCCCCATCCCCTCGTGTATCGGGGGGCTCCCTCCTAACCAAGCGGCAAAGCCCCAAACCACCATTTTGCCCCAGTCTCTTTCCCTTTGCTGGATGCCTTCCGGCCAAAAAGTTGGGAAATGCTAGCGGCCAAGAGGATTTGTGTCCCGCGGGACGTGGAACTGATGCCATGGGACAYCAACACCTTTTTCTCCCCCAGGATCGAGCGAAGCCGCGAAAACCAAATCAAATTAAAACAAAACTGCAAAGCTCGTGCGTRTTCTTTCCAGGATCGGAATTTTTCTGCTGGAAACAGCCCCAAAAAGCTGGAGGCGAGGGATGCTTTGCTCTCCTACGCCCCTATCCCAGCGTCTTGTGCCAGGGGAGCCGGCGCCGTCTCTTGCAGCCGGTGAAGCGATTTTGCAGGCGGTTTGGCCAGAGCTGCGGGTGCGTGGTTGCGGCTTTAACCCGCTCCCGGCACTAAAACCGGCAAAAGTTTTTTCCAAGCCTGTCTTTGCTGTTTGCTTGGCCATGCGTGTCTTGGTGACACCAGCAGGCCCGAGGATGCATTGCAGCATCCTGGGATTTGTGGGATTTACCCTTGCAAAAATCAAACCTTGGTCTGGGGCAYGTCACCTAAAGATGTGGCCGGTGACTGATCTCTGTGGTTCAAGGATTGCCGTCCTGGCACCCTTCTCCTCCAGTTGTGGGTTGCCATCTGACCCGGGGTGCCTGACCATGGCCAGCAGGCCCCCTTAAATCTGTTCCCAAGGAGCTCCTATTTGGGATAGGTCAGATGAAAGCCCCAGGGCATGAACTGAACCCCAGAAATGTTGCACGAGTGGCTGCAGGCGCTGGGCGAGCACAGGGTAGCATTGCTGCCCCGTGATGAGCACCAGGGTGGCAGAGCYATCCCTGTTCCCTGCACATGGCCACATCCCTCCAGTAGGAACCAGCAGCCCTCGGAGCACAAGATGAAGCCTTTGGGGGCAAACCTGACCATTTGAGGAAAAAAAAATACCTTTGTTCCCTCAGTTGGGCCAGCTGGCATTGCTGGGGAGCTGTGCTGTGGTGACCTGGGGTGTCATGAAGGACGTTGGATCCACCCTGGCAATGGCATCAAACTGTGCTATCACAGAATTGGGTTATCTTGAGCTGGAAAGATGTGTAAGAATCATCGAGTCCAACTCCCTGCTCCTTGCAGGACAACCTGAAAGGAAACCATATGAGTAAGAACATCACCCAGACACTCCTTAACTCTGGCAGGCTTGATTCCATGACCTTTTATCTGGGTGGTTCTGCTCCTGTGTCTGACCACCTTCTCAGTAAAGTGCCTTTTCCTCATGTCCAAACGAAGCTTCCCCTGAAGCAACTTCATTCTATCTCCTGTGTCCTTTCGTTGGTCACCAGAGAGTGGAGATCAGCAYCCCAGGAATCCCTGGCACACCGGATATCCCAGGCACTCTGGGCACAGCAGAGATTGCAGACGCAGCAAGGACGGCGGGCACAGGGTGCATCCCACACAGTTTGAGCGCTCTGGGCACAGCACTGGTGCTCAAAGCCAAATTTCTGGGCGGTGGAAGCTGCTGCTGCTGTGGGGCTGCGGCTCGGCCACCCTGTGTCCTGTGTCTCCTGAGTACCGCGACTAACCCCCTGCCCGKGGTCTCTCTGTTAGCGACCAGCACTCACGGCTGCTGCTCTTTAGAAGCGCTTTTTTATTGCCCCAGTGGGTCCCCTCCGCTRCCGGGGGAGCCGGGCAGCTCTGTCSGTGTCCCKCCGCTCGGGCACCCCGCCGTGTCGTCGGTGCAGGTCCCACTAGATGGCACAAGGATCGCAGGAATGGTCCCAGCCCGGGAATMCGCACACGCAGGGGCGGCCGGTGGCGATGCGGGAGTGCGTGATGCCGGTGAGCGATGCCGAAGGGTCCCCTGACAGATGGGAGGGGACCTCCGAGCCCCCTTGAGGAGCTGCCACTGCCCGAGTCAAAGCCGGGGTTTTCATGCTGTATGCCTCAAATCCATTTGGTGCCAGCACGGCTGGAAAGTGTCGCTGTAAAGCTGGGGCACCTCAAAATCACCCCAGCCCTGGGTTTTTACCCACGGCAGCACGGCATCAAAAGCCGTCCCTCTCGCCTCAAACCCGGCGCAGGGATGGAGGCCACCTGCAGCGGCAGGAAAATGGGTGAGCAGGGCTTTGTCTCGGCATCGGGCAGACAGGTTTGGGTGGAGGAGAGGATGGGAGGTGAGTAAGTGAACTGATACTCGGCTTTCCTCCCGCTCTCACTGAGGAMGGCAGACGCTAAGCAGAGCTCCTCAAGGTGGCCAGGCGCTTTCGGAGCTGAAGCAATCCAGCCCGTGGAAAAGAAATAGCCAGGACAAATTGCAGGGACTAAACCCATCAGTTGAGGGCAGCGAGTCGGCTTTGAGCCCGTGGTACAGCCCCATACACCAGACTTCACCTGGAGCTGTGCCCGGGGTTTTGCCTCTCCTGATGCCTGAGATTTTGGAGCCGGGCATCTCTCTGTGTCTGCTTGGATGCAGACCAGCATCACAGCATGACAAATCCGCCTGCGGTGACAGCAGGATCCCCGCCGCCCCCATGCTTACACCTGCAGGGCGCGCCAGGGAGCTGCCATTTACCGGCGCTGCCCGTTTCTGGTCCGCTGGCCGGGGACCGAGCGCCACCGCCACTCGCTGCCCATCTCTGCCGAGTGACGTTCCCCTTTCTGGCTCCTTCCCGCTTCTGGAGAGCGAGGGAAGCCTCTGGCTATTGTTCTTTGTTCCACGCACAAAGGGCAGCCAGCGCCGCCGCGTTCCCGTCAGTGCCCCCGGCACAAAGGCCGGTCCCGCCGGGGCTCTGTGCCCGCTGCCCGCTGCCCGCCGGGCCCCGCSGTGCCCCCCGCTCACATCTCGCCGCTCGGGGATGAGCTGTGCATGGCTCACCGCTCCGCCGGGTGACTTCAGCTATTCACCGCCAGCCCTGCGGCTTTGGGGAGGTGCCAAGAGCCCTCCTCTCCCCCATGAGCCCCACCGTGGGAGAGTCACAGCCCAACACTTTCCGTGCCCCTTCTCCCCATCTCGAGATGTCGGGGTTTGTGGTGTGAGTCACCACCGGCTGGCTGCCGCTGCCTGCACACATCCACCTTGTTCCGGTATCCGGTGGAGCTTGGAAAACAATCTCTCGGTGGCTGCTGCCTCCTGGATCCCTGGGGAACGGGGGATCCCGGGGAGCTGAGCCTGTTGGGGACTGGTGGGGTATGCTGGCTCCTGCTGGGTAGCTGAGGCCCCTGCTGGGGACCAGGGTCACTCTTTTCCCACCAGGAGCAGTGTCARAGCACGCCCCGAGTTTCCCTGGAAGCACGGGTTGTGATCCCATCCTCCCCATGCCGCGGTGCCAGGGCTCGTTCAATCCAGCGCCCAGCAGCACGGACAGGAGGGGGCCTGATAATCTTCCCAAGAAGAAATGGTKCCTTTTACCTTCCTCACCTGGCAGGAGGCCAGGCCCAGGCTGCTGGAGGGGTTGTGCCATTGTTTTTTGCCCAGGAGAGGCAAGTTGGTGGCACCACGGTGCCCTCGGGCTTCAAAGCCAGCCCTGGCTCCAGGTTCAAACTTGTGGAATTACAGCAAATGCGCCAGATATTGGGGAAAGCAGCAGCCAGGGAAARCACTAAAACCACTTAAGAAAAGAAAGGTTTTGGGAAGACACTGGCTCCATTTTGTGATATTCCTTTGGGACATGGCTGCCAGGGAGCTGATGAGCCKGGTTCCCTCATCCCATGGGATCACCCTTACCCGGTGCTTGTGGAGAAACCCCCAGGGGACCAATTTTCCCCCAGACTTCCCTGAGGTTCCCTCACCGGAGGTTTATTTGCAAAGCCGAGCCTAAACAAACARTCCGGGTTTATTGCTGTGCCTACGAGTTGGAGTTTTACAGCCCTGGCACCTGCTGAGCGGCTGTTATCTTTGAGGGAGAAATCGCGACGCGGGTGGGATGGACCCACCTCCCCASCGGATGTTTTCCAGGAGGAARGCTGAGGGAGGTGGAGGGGCGGCGRTGTGGGAGAGCGAGCACCCACGGGCGCTCACAGAGCTGTGGCACTCCCCTAGGATCGCCCTCCTCCGAGTTTTTCAAATTGCCCTGGAACTGCTCACCAGATTTGGATGAGAGACGTAGGGGCA